GAGTGCAAAAGGTGTGTAAAATTGATTGCCAGATGTGTCCCCAAGTGAAGCAGCTGCAAGTAATTCTTTGAAGCATATTAAACTACACAGACCTGGTTAGAGGCTCTGAGATTTTTTATAAACTTCTATAAGCTCAGGAATGAGCTATCAGGCAGTGGGGGGCAGGCTGCCAGCAGTCACATTAATATTTCAACAGCTATGAACCTTGTTGTTGTGATTCTCAGGTAAATGTATATTTTCTGAGTGAGAATATGTGTAATATAAGCCATCTATGCACAAAGCATGAGACCAAACCTGCCAGATACTAGTCTTAAAACAATTTGTTCATGAGAGTTAGCCCAACCTGGAAAGCAAGTCACACACCATGGCCCAATGTCACACACTTTTGCCCAAAGACCAGTGAAAAATGCCAAAAATTATTATTCAATGACATACTAACAATAAACAGCATATGCTGATGGATAGTGGCCACTGCCTGCCAGTGGATGTCACCAGTGTTTGGTGGTGTCTGCCACCTGCCATGTGAATCGACCGGACCAAATACCAGTGGCAGCCAGCATAACATGCTGAACACTGGTATATCCCAACATACCCCACTACTTGCCACTGATACACAGCAATATTCACCAGTTGCTGCTGTATTCCGATGGGTTCCAGTGGACAACGAACGGTGGTGTTCACAAGCGCTCACAGTGACGCACCCGTATATGGCAAGGACCGCCGGCGAACACCAATGGCCACCGGCGAACACCGGTGGTTACCGCTGGAAGTTGGCGAACGCCGAAGTTGCAAGTCACGGGCTTATAACTCTAGAGATAAGCGTTCGTGTCGAGGAAGCTCCATGGCATTCGACTCCGACGCCTGACCTTAGTACGATTGCCCTTCCTCTATTTGTGGACTCTACGGATATCCACGGCATAAAATCCACTATGCCCGCGGATGAAATTTCACGTATCATTGATAAAGCGCGCCTCGAAGTGTGGGGGAGGACCAAGTCGTTAGAGTCGGGAGTCCCTCTCGAGCGTCTCCTCACATCCGACGGACAAGGCAGAGCATTCTCGCTTGTGCCGAAACCACGCTCCCCCATCCCTCTCCAGTGGGCCCACTTCGGCCCTAACGCCATACCGAACACCCTCGCAGACACACCTTGCACTACTATGGACACCAAACGGCTGCTGGAGCTACTCAACGACGTCCTCGCGACCAACTACTCGCTAGAGAAGCCGGGAATGGAGCAGTGCCTGAATCACTTCCTCCGCACCTCACGAGACTTTGGTCAAGTGTACGCATCTCTGCGAAGATACTGGCGATCTGGCTTCACTCAACTGCTCCCCGACCTCGCTAAATATCAAAAGGAGGATGAATCGAAGCGGCGGAATGCCTTGGGTGGTGGCTATATCAGCAACTCGCGGCTGCCCCCACGGCGGGTGTGGGACCTCTACAGTAATCGCGTCCTGCCCTTCTATGCCATTAAACGAGGTCTCCTTCGGTTCTTGATCTTCGACGAGGTCTGGACGGTATCGCACAGCTGGGTACACGAAAGCGTCCGCACCGATGTCTGGACCCTGATCAACGACAACCAGTGGCCCGTCCCCATTCCGGGCGACACCACACTTGAACATGTTCGAGTCGAGCTCCTTAATCTCGGTGCCGAGTATGTCTGGATGGACGTTCTGTGTCTGAGACAACGGGGACGTCCGGGGGACGAGGAGCAGAGGAAGGAAGAGTGGAAGCTCGATGTTCCCACCATTGGCTATGTATACTCACACTTATCCAGCCGCAGGCCGTGCGTCACATATTTCAACGGCCTGGGCCTTCCTTTCGATCCGTCTCCACAAGTATTGTCTTCCGATCGCCACTGGTTGAACCGCGCCTGGACGGTGCAAGAGGCCATCAACAGCTGGTTGCCTGGCGGGACCACCGGTGCGGTGTCTGCGGATGCGCTGCGTTTCTTCCAAGAGCACCTTCCACGATCCATCCCGCAAGAAGGTCTCGACTTTGTCCCCTTTGCGGCCTCGGCGATGCGAGGGCGTCACTGCACCACAGAGCTCGACAGAATCCACGGCCTCGCATACCTCCTAAACTGCAGCACCCTCCCGATCTACGACGAAGGGATGCCACCAGAGCTCGCTTGGACCATGCTTCTCAAGCATCTGAGCCCGTATGCACGACGCCGAGTTGCCTCGCGCCACGCATGGTGTCATCCAGATGACACCTCATTACTGCCTTCGTGGAAGGACTTTATGCAATGTGAGCGGGACGATATTGCTCGTCCCTTGGATTCTGCGCTTGCTGATTCGGCCCTGTACCTTCTGGACGACTCCCGCCTTCACGTGCATGAGCCAGGAGTCTACTGTCATTATAATATTCTCTCGCACGGCCCCGTCAGCATCGATTGCGAGGGGAAGAAAGATGAGTCCGGCTATGAGACACTCAAGCTCCAATATCGAGATGTATGGAACCGTCTCTTGCGCTTTGACATAAAGGATTGCGAGGTCGCCGGCACATTTTTACCAGGCGTGAAGTATGCCATCTTGGACCTTCCACCGCAGGTCTGGCTTATTGTGGAAGTGATTGGAGAGCGGGAGGTTGAGGGTACCGCAGCGCTGGAGGTGGTTAAGCGAGGCTGCGTATTTCCTTTATCGAACCAACTCCCACCCCTCATATGGTATAAACGGCGCATCGTGCATATTTCAGAGGAGGAAGCCAGATGAAAGAGATAGATATTTCGCATGCTACATATACCCCTCATACAATATCTGTACAATAGCCCCTCATCGGTCCACCAGCCTAGCATTTAGTCGTCGCAGAAAATTTGACATAGCACTGAAGCATTATATTAACTGTGCATGTCGCAGCGCGTTTTGTCCCAAACCTCACTTCAGGTGGACGAGCGATCATCTTCACCAGACTTGCACCTCTGCGGTGATGTTTGTCAGCTTGTTCAAGTTGTACCTTTGGAGACTGGCTGCCTGAGACTGGCCAGTCGTACCCAGAGTTGACGACTCCGTGCGTTTGTGCCCAGGTAATAGGCTTCGTGGTCTGCCGGCCAATTTCTGGGCATTTGTATCTGGATTGGGATCCGAGAGCGGCCCACCGGGAGGTCGATTTGTTCCCGGATCAGGATGAGACCTGGTAGGGAACATGCCGGAGTATGTGATCAATGGGACCAAGCAAGCGTATCCTGAGCTTACGTGTCGTTAGCAGCAAGCCTAGGACGACTGCTTTCTCCACAGCATGTATCCGCTAGCCGCTATTGACGAGATATTTCAGGTTGTGCTCGCGAATGTCAAAGCCAGAGTAGCGCTGCGAAGCTTGGCTCTGTCCTGCCGGGCATTCTACGACCCAGCCATGGACGTGCTCTGGTGCGATCTAGAAGGCTTGCAGCCACTTGTCAGGTGTCTCCCGTCCCATATGGTTAGAAAAGTCAAAGGGACGACCGCCGCCGTGGTAAGTGGTATCGCACACTGCAATAGAATGCCGCATCTCATGGATACTCGCCGTTCGTTATAGAAAATCACTAGGCGGCCTCTACAGGCGGACTGGTCCAGGTTCTTGCATCACTCTCGTCGAGTGAGGAGTCTTCAAGTGCACTCCGGCTATGGGGACGACTCTCGGTATGACATCGACTACGCTGCCTTCGAGATACTCCGTCAATATCATCCAGGGCTTGTTCTGCCGAACCTGCAGCACCTGGTTTGGTCCGACAACGAGCTGGCCCCTTTTGCGACCTTATTCGTCACGCCCTCCTTATTGTCGCTTGTTTTCAAACCCGTGGAAAATCTAGAAATTGAAGACGTACGCGCGATCTTGGCAGAAGTGAGGGGACAGGCCAGCGAGCTCCAGCTCCTCAAGTTTCCCGAGGCCGATCTTAACGTTTTAACGACTCTCAAAGAAGAGATCTCGGCTACTGTATGCGCTTTGACAAATTTGACCACCCTCGACTTCAGCTATGCCCATTTACTCCCTGATGCCTTCATTCACCTCTCCCGCCTTCCCAAGCTGACCTCCCTCACCGTCTCTCTAACAAATCGCAACGGTGATTGTTGGAAATCCGCTGGATGGGGCGGATTCTCTTCGTTGGAGATGCTAGGTATCTCATCCCTAGAGCATCACAACAACTTGTCTTATCCCTTGAACTTCCTGAACTCCATCAACGTCGCCAAGCTGACGGAAGTAGAGATGATCTCCGATATACCAGCACAGATTGACGATGTGGCCGAACTCTTCTCCTCCCTCGGTCGATTTTCAAAACTCAGACAAATTAACCTCGTGTTCTGCGATGACGATGACGATGACGGCCGGAATGGCAAATTTCTTCGTGGCAGCGCAATCTTACCTCTCACCAGTCTTCGCTCCATGACGGTCTTCTGCGCAGAGCAGGTGTCCATCGATATCAATCGCGCCGAGATCCGCGAGCTAACGGAAAGCTGGCCGCATTTGCAATCTTTTACCCTACTCCCGGCTGTCGGCCTGTCATACTCGCGCCTGCAACTTGAAGATCTCGCCCTATTTGCGAAACATTGCCCGAACATTAAGTATCTCAATGTGGAGCTCGAGTCCCCGAGGGCCGGCTGGAGGTATACGCCGGACAATGATCGCCTCACCTCCAACCTCCCTTGCCTGTGCCTCAGCCGGTCGCACATCTCAGCGTCCGTGATAGAGCCTGTCGCGGAATTCCTTGCAGACATTTTTCCGCTCGCGAAGGTGTCTCACGACCTACCGGGGTGGCACAAAACCCCAGAGGACGAGGAGGCGGCTCGGGTCTTGAACAAGATCTGGAAGTTGAAGGAGGGCTTGAACTTTCCACCTGCCCAGCAGCAGCGCCGGGAACAGAAGAAGGGGAAGGGGAAGAGAAATCGTCGAGCAAAGAGGACCGCGGCGGAGTAGTGGGGCATGACGACGAGATGGCACTAGGCTCGCTCACGTTCGGGGCAGCCCTACCAGATGTACAAGTTTATATATCCGTAACTCGACATATCAGCTGCTTAGGGCAAAATTGTATGTGGCCTGTATCGCACACTCGCCTCCTGACACCTGCACCCCGCTGCCTGTGGGGAACCGTAACGATACACGAAGTTATCGTGCGATGAAACTATCCGCATGTCCGCGATGGCCTCTCAAATCGTTGTAATATTAGTAGCCCCCCGCTTGATGTTCCCACGGTCAAGACATCATCTTATTGGCTTTGAATTGTTTGTTACGGTGAGTTGATACTCAGATAAACACCTTACATAGCGGTCTACCGGCCGGTAGGCGTCTACGTATACTGCGGACGTATTGAGATATCGCGCGATTTGGAAGACACCATACAGAGACACGCAAATACTCTAAAACTTGAGACAGAATGTATCTGCACTAAGCTGCCTCCGAAATTGGCCTCTCATAGATCCAGCGCGACTGTGATGTCCGATATCCGGACGCCGAATGTCAAAGGGGACGTTGCATCGCTGGAACTCTGGCTTACCGTGAACTGTGTCGTTGTCAGTAGAACATCTTCGAACAGGGCATTGTGAGAATCACCTCTGCAATCGCCCCGCGTCCGGTCTGCCGTCCACTCAACCGTCAGCTGATACAGCCCGGTTAGCTCCGGCGTGACCCAGCGAGTTAGCAGTCTGCTGCGCCGTCCGCGGTCTCGTCGTACCACGCGGCAACGATAGCCTGCCCAAGCGCAATGCGTTCAAGTCTAGCAAGCCGCCGCCTCCGCGCAAGTCTACAAGACACAGCCAGCACCGCCATGCCTGTCGCGTGCGGCACCTTGGCCTTCTTGAGTATGTCATCGACACCGGGCTTCACAAGCTCTTCGAAGGCCCCCAAAGCGCTGCATTGCATATCGTCATCTGAATCTCGGGTGAGCACCTCGATGTTCGGCACAAATACCATCCTTGATTCAGGGATGGGGCGTCGGCTTGGGAGGTTTGAGTGTGACATGCCTGTCGGAACAGACATCCTCGCCTTGCGGGCCCTATTGTCATCAGACCAATTGAAGACGCACAAAATTTGGTACCGCTCACCAGTACTGCGCCATCTAACTGCTCATCCAGCCGTCTAGACCTTCGAGCAACTGTGTGACTATGCTTCAGCCGCCACTCGAGTGAAGGGTGGAGCTGTCAGACGGTGGCCTCCGAGGGCGCGACGTGCTTCCACTGATGCTGCGCGTATATCCTATGTGGAATCGCGACGGCGGCTCCGTGCTGCCAAAGAGAGCGGGAGGGTTCCGGGATTTCCATGACGGCGAAGATGTCAGATAAATGAGGGAAATCGAGCGCGACATGCTGCACTTCAGGAGGATCCTCTCACGAACTTCTTGCACACCTACATGCTGACTGTCCGATCTTGAAGCTTGAAGTCGCGCCGATGGGGTAATGCGCGCCTTCAGTTCGGTGTGCCTTGTGCCCCCCTCACTCAAGTATGGTTCTGAACTCTCTCTGGAAAACGCCAATCAGGAAAGGATGTCTGCGGTGTACGAGTGGCACTCACCGAGCCATGTGAACTCAGGAGCAGGCGTATCAGCCCAGGTCTCATAGCCCTAAGTTCTAGATGCCCTATCGATACACAAAGCCGTGCGACTGTCTCCTCGGGCGGCATGACCCGCTACACAAGGGTCGCATCACAGCCTGGAGTGCAGCCTGACGACGCGGGGAATCTCGAGTGGTGGGCTGTCGCAGGCATGCAGATTGATTTGTAATACATGTGTGAGGCGGTGAGCTGAGATGCGCGACGGCGTGGAAGGGATATTTGTGCGCGGCGGGGCGCAGAGTGCCTGGCGGCGACGCTTCGTAGCTGGCTCGCTGGATGGTGGCTCGCTGCTGGCACCTTTGAACTTAAAGACTTGTTTGAACAAAGACGGCCCACCTGACTACGGCTGAATCCAATGGCGTTGTCCAGCGGGTATATCGGAGTAAGGCGCGCCAGTACTTGGGGACCCGTCGCTCGGAGTGTAGCCTTGCACAGGCGATCCGGCGGGGCAGACAAGGGTATACCGCGGGAGGACTCGCCGTGCTGTATGGCATCCTAAGCACTATGGCTTATTCGAGAGAGTAGCGGTGGCAAGAGCGGCCGAACAGCCTGAGAGCGGGTGCGACAAGTGGTCTACGACGCGTGCGACGGTGGGGACAATTTGACAAAATACCCATCTCACGTGCCTTTACTGATCCGATCACGTCACCACAAAGGCTGTGCCAGGCGCTCAAGAGGTGCTTTCCCAAGCTGCAGTGGCAGTCTCCCTTGCATTCACCTGGCTGCCGCTGTCGCGTGATACGACAGAACATGCGCCCCTGGGTTGCGTCGGGGCTAACCTGTGGGAGCTCAGACCAGTCGAATGGATAGCAGACCGGGCATGGGGTGATCGCAGAGGTGAGTTATCTGGACGTCCTTTTTGGGAGGTACCCTACTCTGATGAAAGCTTAGGCTCTGGCGATACGGCGTCATGTTCGACACTTGATGCCACCTCGGCATCCTGGCACCGAACATCGTGTTTGTGCTGGATCGATATGAGGTCGATTCTGGAGGCGTAGGGCGGATTATACTACCTCGAACTTTGTCAGAGTATCTGCTGCCTCTGTATTCTGTCTTCCAAATCACGCAATAAATGCAGTACTCTCCAGAAAGTCGTTGCTCTCGATGCACCCGCAATAGACGCCTATCTTATCGAGGAATGGAAGGGATCACTTGCGCCGTGCAACCTGGCTCTGCTTGTTCCACCACGCTGCTCACCTCTCTTGCATGCGTCGCGACGCTACAAAAACCTCAGCTGCACCCCGAATGTTTCGCATAGACCGGACAGATACCGGTAAATCGCGAACATTGAGAATTTTACTTGTTTGCTGAGCTATTATGCGTAGGATGGAGTCTATTCAGTTCTGCGTATCGACTTAAACGTGCGACAGCAAGGCCGAATGCGGATTCAGTCGATGAGGAGGGCGGTTTTAAGAAATCTACAGGTCGTGATCGATACCAGTCGGTGAGCCACAGATAACCACATGGACAGGAATTCATACTGAGACGATAATATGTATAGCGTGTAATGGCGGCGTTCACACTTGGAGATAAAGATGTCTTTGTCGAAGAGACCCCATGGAACACGACTCAATTTGGCTATAGTGCCCTTTCTCTTTCTCCGTTTGTGAACTCTACAGATATCCACCGCATAGGCCTCTCCTCCAAGTATATACATTCACGTATCGTTGATAAAGCCCGCCTCGAAGTGTGGGGGAGGATCAAGATGTCGGAGTCAGGAGTCCCTCTCAAGCATCTCTTCACGTCCTCTGGCCAAGGTAGAGCATTCTCGCTCGTGCCGAAACCACGGTCCCCCATCCCCCTCCAACGCTGTCGCAGACATGCCCTGTGCTGCTATGAACACCAGCAAGTCACTGAAGCTACTCAACGACATCCTCGGGACCAGATACACGCTAGGCAAGCCGGGGCTGGAGCAGTGCCTCGACCACTTCATCCGTAACTCACGAGACTTTGGCCAAGTATATGGCGCTCTGCGATGCCATTGGCAATCCGACTTCACTCGGCTGCTCTCTGACATTGCTGCAAAGCAAAAGAGGGAAGAAGTGATGCAGAAAAATGCCTTGGATGGTGGATATATCAGCAATTCGCAGGTGTCTCCACGACGGGTGTGGGACCTTTACAGTAATCGTGTCCTGCCCTTCTATGCCATTGATCAAAATCGCAATTCGCTCGTGATCCCCGACAATATCTGGACGGTATCGCACAGCTGGGTGCACGAAAACGCTCGCATCGATGTCTCGACCCCAATCAACGACTACAAGTGGCCCGTCCCCATCCCGAACAACACCACCTTCGATCACATCCGAGTCGAGCTGCTCAACCTTGGAGCCGAATATGTCTGGCTGGACGTCCTGTGTATGAGACAACGGGGACGTCCGGAGGACGAGGAGCAGAGGAAGGAAGAGTGGAAGCTCGACGTCCCCACCATTGGGTCTGTATACTCCCTGGACAGACCGTGCGTTACATATTTCAACGGCCTGGGTCTTCCTTTCGACCCGTCTCCACAAGTACTGTCTTCCGATCGCCACTGGCTTAAGCGTGTCTGGACGGTACAAGAGGCCACCGACCTCTGGTTGCCCGGTGGGATCACCGGAGCGACGTCTACAGACACGCAGCGTTTCTTCCGAGAGCTACTCCCGCGGTCCATCCCGCAGAATTTTCTGTCGTCTTTCGACCACTTGGCCTTCGCGGTTCGGGCGATGCAGGGGCGCCACTGCACCGCAGGGCTCGACAGGGTTCACGGCCTCGCATACATCCTGAACTGCAAGACGCTGCCGATCTACGACGAAGGAATGCCGACGGAGCTCGCTTGGACCGCGCTTCTCAAGCATATAGGCCTTGACTCACGATGGCGGGTCGCCTTGCGCCACGCGAGGCGTCATCCAAACGATACCTCGCTGCTGCCTTCGTGGAAGGACTTCATGCAATACGAGCAGGAGGGCAACGATATCCATTCCTGGTATTCTGTGCCTGGCTTGTCAGACTTGTACCTTCTGGACCACTTGAACCTTCACACGCCTGAGCCAGGGACCTACTTCCACAAGGTCATTGCCGGTTTGTACGGTTCCATTGACATCGATCGCGAGGGGACGAAAGACAGTTCCGGTCATAAGATACTCAGGTTCCAAGACGCAATCGGCGCTCTCTACGAGATCACAGCAACCAAGGTCGGCGGTACATTTTTGCGAGGCGCGGCGTATCTCATCTTGAAATTCACTTCGGAGGTCTGGCTTGTTGTCGAGGTGATTGGCCGGCGGCTGATGGGGGAACAAATGGTGCAGTGGGTGGTTAAGCGAGGATGTATATTTCCTTTATTGGACCCAATCCCGTACCGCGTGTGGGGTAATCGGTGGGTTGTTTATGTTTCAGAGGGGGAAGTCCGAGAGAAGAAATCGGTATTTCGCAGGCTACACAAACCTCTCGAACGATATTTATTACAATAGCTCCGCGTCCGCCCACCAGTCTAGCGTGTAGTCGTAGCGGAAAACTTGACATGGCACTGAACCACATGCATTGGAGACTAGCAAGCATTCTATTAACTTTTCATTGTGGTCACGGCGATTAGCACGAAGCTGAAGATTGTCGGCGCAAGATATGGATTTCCCTAGACTCTAGCCGGTCTCGGGATGATGAAAGCAACGCACAAGTGGCGGGCTGCATGGACCCTCCCCACATGCCCTACTAGCAGAGCTCGACTAATTATCTGCGGTGCTGCCGTACCCAATGTCGTACGCGAGGATATCCGCGATTGATAGCTGAAATTAATGTCAAAGAGCGTGGAGAGCCCGACATTTGCTCTCGGGAGCTAGGCTGCGGCAATCACTGAGCTCAGCACTGCGAGCGTTGTACGCATACGCGGGATATCTCACCAAGCTCCTACTTGTCACAGCCAGCCTTCTTCAGTCCTGGATATTGCCTGAAATCCTATGGTCCGTGAAAGCACGCTCAGGGCAATGCGTGCGGCGCCGTTCATGCACCCAAGTTATGCGGGATTTTTGGTGATGCAAGGTTATGTGATGCAAAGATAAGCAATCAAAGCAAATCCATGATTGCATGGACACCCAAGTTTATTTGGTCGTTGTCGTCGGTGCGGGGGCGTATACTGCCAAGCGGCACCCCGGCGTGTACTCTGTTCCCCGCTAACATGTACAGTTTGCAGCAAGCTTAAGCTCCGGGTCGCTGGGCTCTTTCTTTCTTGCCCAATTCCCTCCTTCGTCGAAGTACTTGACAAGCTTTATGCAAACAGCTGTAGCGTATATTTACGCCTAGCTGACGTGGTTATCCTACTCGCGATTATTATTCCTTCAGGTGTTGTGCTCTTCAAGCATTAAGTTCATCGTGCCGAATATGCCTTGCTTATCCTGGGCGGACAAGGACGCTTTGACCTCGTGACCCGTCATCTGTATCGATTCGGCAACCGGATGCGATACCAGACACATGTATCTCGCTTTGACTCAGACTTGACGTGCCACGCTGAGTCGCTGAGTCGACCTCCTGCCCGCATACTTGGCCGTATTGGGGGCAAAGCCGACTTGGGCATGAGCGCATGTGAGGTCTTCACGGATATGCCTACAGTCACCGAAGCATCAATAATCCCATCTAATAAGTGCGCCACCTTCTTGGAATGCCGATTCTCGTGCGTGACCTGTCAAGCTACAGGCAAACACAGTACAGGCCAGTGGGAGACATGTAGCATATGGCAGTAACCTTCGAATCATGTAGATTACAAGCACAACAGCATAGATTCGGTACTATGGACAGGTTATGTAAGACAGGATAGTATAACCTACGACTATTCTTGTGCTCCTGCCGCCGTTGTGATCATGTTACCCCTAGACTTGGCTAAGTTATACTAGTACGTGCTCGCGTGCGCGCCGGCGCGCAGTAAGCTCTGCGCGCATACGGTCCCCGGACTCTTGAGAGAAACATGCGATGGTGTTACTGGAAGACAGGATGTTGCTCAATTTACTATTGGACATCTAAGCAGTGATACCACGAGAAGATGGAGTACCGTCAACGAGCAATACTGCTCTATCAACAGCGAGTCACGCATGGCTCGGACGCGCTGGCCTCGTCAAACCTTCTGAATCCCACTGCACACGGACACCCGCGTCTTACCTGTTGAACCATGCAGTGCTTCAACACGCCACCCGGGTGTTTAAGTTATACCATAACACACAGAACTTTGCACATATCTCGACTTCTCCACAAGGTGACCCCAGAGCATAACGAAAGCCTGAGGATAGGTTGAACTAGTTGCTGCGTACATCGTCAGCTCGCTTCATGCCTCGTCTCCTGTCCAAAAACCAGCCCAGAATGGTGACAGCCGACGCACACGCAAAACATGCCCCAGTATAGACGATGACCGCAGTGTACCGCCCGCCATCGACTGCGAAGCCGGTCTTTGTCGCGCCACTGCCCAGTACAACTACAAGCTTCGCTTGCTGAAGGGCAGTAGAAATTGGCGTAGACGCGATATTCCCAATCCCTCGGCTCAGCATCATGAAGTTGATTATTGTGGTCGCAACAGATGGGTCGCCTACTATATACAAAACATAATCAGATGACAGTCAGAATCAAGATAAGAAGAACGCGTACGCGCGATAGGCCGCACAAATCCGCTCCACAGACTCGACCAGCTACCCGCGGTAATGCCGTACACAGCGGCACACGCGAGGACGCCGGCGAACGAGAACGATGTTACACCCCACAGCACGAGTGTTGCGAGCGAGCTGAGCAGCAACACTGAGAACGCGAGCGCCCAGATGTTGCACCGATCGCTGAGCCAACCCACTGCGAACCCGGCAATGATGGCGGTGGCATTGGAAAGTGTCAGCGTCAACGATGCTTGACTTGTCGTGAGGCCGAGCGAGGTTGCAAATGCTACAGAGGGTGTATGAGTGCGTTGCTAAGTGCGGCGCTACGAACCGAAAGATGGGGACGCACTTGGCAGCCAGATGAGAGGCACGAAGTGTGCGAAGCCCTGGAGCGTGTTGATCACAATGAAGAACCAGAACCTGCGGTCATGCATCCACGAACGTGTCGCTGAGCGCAGTGTGGAACCGTGCACGGGCGATTCGGGAAGACGCGCCTTCATGAATGGGATCGCGGGCAACAGGCATACTGCCAGTACGACTGCGTAGATACGCGTTGTTGACATGATTCCGAAGCGCGAGATAAGGGCCGGTATGATGATGGGAAAGAGAACACCGCCGGCATTGTCAGCTGCGTGGGGGATTATTGCTTAGAAACTGCTCACACTTCGTCGTGTGGAAATTGAAGGGGCATACCTGCAACAACAATCCCACTTGCCAAGCCCCGGCGCTGCACAAACCATTCGGACAAGTACGAGAGGATAGGGTAGTAGACCAGGGCTATGGCCAGTTAGGCAGGGTCACAAACTTTTGATAGCAGTGGCGGTGACGTACAGGCGCCGCAGTAATATGCCCGGGACTGACAACTACACCAAATTCCACCGAATATGGGGTGTACTCACCGGCACCCACTGGTATCCAGTGAAGTCCAGTGCTAGTCTCCAGTGGCTGCCGCTGTTGGCTGGTGGGTATCAGTGAGTAACAGTGGGTGGCAGTGAGACACACCGGATCCCGCTGGGCTTCACAGGTTGCCACCGGCTACTGGCACACATCACCAGCAATTTGTATAAAACATTGCTCGAAGCCACTGGCTTATCAAGTACCGATATAAATACAAATATTCTTCTGTAATAGGCTCAATAAATGCTTAGCCACTGGCATCTGTATAGATGCCTATTCTCATCTGAACTGTGCACTATCCCAGAACTCAGCTCTCACTGAAGTGTCTCTACACAGTACACTGTCTGAGTGCAAAAGGTGTGTAAAATTGATTGCCAGATGTGTCCCCAAGTGGAAGCAGCTGTAAGTAATTCTTTGAAGCATATTATACTACACAGACCTGGTTAGAGGCTCCTGAGATTTTTTATAAACTTTCTATAAGCTCAGGAATGAGCTATCAGGCAGTGAGGGCAGGCTGCCAGCAGTCACATTAATATTTCAACAGCTATGAACCTTGTTGTTGTGATTCTCAGGTAAATGTATATTCTCTGAGTGAGAATATGTGTAATATAAGCCATCTATGCACAAAGCATGAGACCAAACCTGCCAGATACTAGTCTTAAAACAATTTGTTCATGAGAGTTAGCCCAACCTGGAAAGCAAGTCACACACCATGGCCCAATGTCACACACTTCTGCCCAAAGACCAGTGAGAAATGCAAAAAATT